TTTCTTAAAGTCATTTGTGCAAACAAGACCTAAAAGATCTTAAGCTTTATTAATAATAACTAATAATTTATTGAATTTGTGCTGCACTTTACATTTTTAAATCTTAAAATGTCACAACATGAAACAGACAGAGAAACAGAGGAAGAACTAAAAACAACCGATATAGAAAATACATTTAAACACGATCAAATCTTTCAAACAGGAAGGTATAACAGGAAAACAATAGCGAGGAAGTATTCGGTTTTCCACATGTTCTGACCTTTCAATCTGAATTTAATCAAAAAAAAAAAACATCACTGCTAATCAAATCTGATCAAGCAAAAAACTATTAAACCAAATTGGACTTGACCGCAATTATTTGTGTTTACACACAAACAAATATAGAAGCATATTAAATTATGCTGGTTGCCACTGAGACGCTCCAACGATCACATGACAACACGTGGACACACGTGAAGAATAAAATGTGCCACTTGTCTGCGTTTGGTTCAGATTTGACTGTTTTGTTTAAATCTCCACAAGTTGCATCAGGATGGAGATGCGGCTGATGTGTGACAAGTGGTTTGAACGTGTGGCGAATAGAGACAGTCGAATATTAGACAAAGGATGTTGGACATAGAAATGGAGAAGAGGACGAGCTCAAAGAAGATACATGAATGTAGTGATGGAGGACATGGTGTAGCAGAACACGAGGCAGGAGGTCGGGTGAGACAGAGTCATGAAGGAAACAAAGAAGAATGTTGTTCTAGTGCTTCCAAAAGAAAAATAAAATCATTTTTTAATGAAAGGGTAATGCACAAGTGCCACCTGAGTCTGTCAATTAATCAATTAAATTAAATTCTAGCTCTTTTTTTTTCCTTTTCTTTTTTTGGGGGAAAGAAAAAAGAAAAAAGGGAAAAAATGTAATAAAAAAAAAAAAAGTATCTCTCTTTGAGATAATCTGGGAATTTATTCACTTTTTTGAAAAGTCCAATCGCTGAAAACACTGACTCCCTCGTTTTTTTTCTTCAGATCTTTAAATAAATATTAATATATTTCATAAAGCACACTGACATACACAAATATGTACTTAGACTCTGTCTCCCTGGTAACAAGATTATACTTTTTTTTAAACATTATAATTTTTTTTTTAACACACACACTAATGTTTGCGAAAATGTAGTCAAATAATAAATATAACAAATACAACTGACATTTGTACACGCAGTTTTAAATCTACAGTCATATTATTCGACTCTGATCATTTATTTAGAAAAAGTACCTTAATAGTTGTGGACGGCCTAGTGTAAGGCAGCACCTATTATTATCCACCTGACAAGGGTTTCTTAACTTTATATCTTACTCTTCTATCAACTTTAATGTGACACGAACCGCAACGTGTACCCCCACAAATTTTATATCAAAATGACCGGCCCGGCGCTGTGATGTGTGCCGTTACTTTTACTGGTGTTTCCAATTACCATGGCGACGTAATTTGTAAACAAAGACGCCATTTTTACTAGTCATTTTTCATATACTGGTTGCAAATCAAATATCCAATATGGCCACCTGAGCTAAAAGGAAAAATACTGTAAAGCAGCCATTTTTTAAAGAGATATTCAGCTTTAATTTGATGTGTTAGATGAGACCAATGCCCAATAAATAAATAATAATAATAAAAAAAAAAAAAAAATCCAAGATGGCCACCAAAGCTTCATTTAAATGGTTTAACTCAGCTATTATTACACATACGGAGATGAAATTTGGTGAGGTTACATCTGAGAACGTTCCCCATCTCGTACTCAATCCAAATCAAAATCCAAGATGGCTACCATAGCTTAAAAAAAAAAAAGACTATAACTCATAGATTTTTTGGCCATTTTGAGCTGAAATGTGGTGCGAACCTGAACACACAGTAACGCCAAATCTAAATTTTAAAAAGTCTCTCCAGGAACTTTCTAGTGTGGTTTAATTGTATAAGACAAAGATACAGGCAAGTGTAAAGTGTTAGTGAGACCAGAGGTGGAGCGAGGGAGTGTGACTGTTCTGGACAAGGAGCAGCAGATGTTTTCTCTAATTAGGCTCCAAATCACGTCTGATTGTGTGATTTTATTATTCCGATGTGGTTCATGGGAATGAAAAGGTTTGCATGAAGTGAAGTGCTTTGTAACGGTGGCTGTTTGGAGCATGATTTGCATTTTGACAGTGAGCTCTTTTAGAGGTGTGTGTGTGTGTGTGTGTGTGTGTGTGTGTGTGTGTGTGTGTGTG